GCCTCCATCAGATGAGATCACACTCTGATACCATGTTCTGGTACAGGTTGAGAAATCAAGAGGAAAAGAGCAATATAAAAGAAAAGAGGAGAGAAAAGGAGAATAGAAGGCTGTCATACCAATAGGAAAAGAGACAAACTGATCTCTCCCAGTTTATATGTAGATTACTTAAACTGATTACAATTACTTTTTTGCCCCTTAAGTATGAGACACCTTATTAGGAATGAGACAGAGCTAGACACTTAAAAAATAAAATACAATGACATAAACACCCCTGTTTATTACTACTTAACATATATATTCATAGTTTTCATAATTGTTAATATTTGTGTTCACACACCACTAACTAGTTGATACTCATGGCACGGTCACGTGGAATGACTAAAGAATCAACCAGATTGACTAGTTTACAACAAAGTTGTTTTATAGTTTTATTTATTTGTCTATCGCTAATTATTTAAAACAATATGGTATATGCTTTTATATTTACACGCATTATGTTATTTAAAGTATTTATGATGGTACATGGTTGGCTGATGGTATTTAAAATAGAGAAAAGAATAAAAACAAAAGTGGAGAGATTATTCTTTTGTGTTTTCTTCCTATCAATGGAGTGCTGTTACAGAATTCCCATAAGTAATGGGTACATTAGATAGTTAAAGATTGTATGAAGAAAGAAAGCTGTAAATCCCTATTCTAAGCACTCCAAAGCATCTAGTATCCCTAGTTATCACCCTAAATACGACTCCGGATCTCCTGCCCACACAAACTCTGCCCACGTCTACCCACATACCATCACAGCCACACATGAACATCTTCTCATCCCCCTACATAGTATTATGCAGGGGGATATGTTCCCAACTCACGGGGGGTAGTGTGTTGTGGGTAGACGTGGGCAGGAGATCTGGAGTTCCTAAATACACCCTTCTACATAAATATATTTTATACAATGGAAAGCTTGTTTGTTACTCCCACAAGTGGAGCCCCATTCACCCCTTGCTTACTCCCCTTACCATTTTCCTTATTTCTCTAATGATATGTTTATTCTTCCATGGCCTTGTTATCCAACCTAACTTTTTCATAATGACTATGAAACAAAATTGTAAATTGTATGCTTAGTATTATTCTTTTATTGCATGTTTATAATCTATATAAACTTATTTATGTGATTTCATTGATATTTGAAACTTTAAAAAATATATTCTTTTTTTTTAAGTTGTAAACTATATGTTTGGTATTATCTTTTCTCTTTTATTGCATATTTACCATAAATTAGTATAAAAAGGGAGAAAAGACAATGTATAAACTAGCAAAGCTGAGAGAAAGGAAAGGCAAAGATTTAAACCATGCTAGGTGCACTAAAGATGAAGTTCAAAGGTCTTGGTAAAAGATGAGAAAATCAAACAAAGATGGAAAATTTGTTAAATGAACAACAGAGAAAGGGTGCTAATGGAGGAGAATCTAGCAATACTAGTAGTGTTAAAAATAATATGTACTTTCGTAGAATTAGACATACTAAAGAAAAGAACACTAAATAAGATGAAGAAGGGAAAATTGTTAGGATCTGATGGGATTCCAATGGAAGTATGAATAGGCATGGGAGAGGTAGGTTTGCTATGGTTAATCAAGCTATTTAATAAGATAATGAAAGAAAAGGAGATGCCTGATGATTGGGGAAAAACAATATGGTGCCTAAATTTAAGAACAAAGGTGATATTACAAACTTGTAATAACCATTAGGGGATTAAACTTATGAACCACACTATGAAAATTTGGAAGAGAATTACTGAACAAAGATTACGACTTGAAACAAGTGTATTAGAAAACTAATTTGGTTTTGTGCCAGGGAGATCAACCATGGAAGTTATAATTCTTTTGCGATGATTGATAGAAAAGTTCAAAGAGAAGAAGAAAGATCTTCATATGGTGTTCATTGATCTAGAAAAAGGCATATGATAGAGTTCCTAGATAGATATTATGGTGGATCTTGGAAAAGAAAGGGGTTCAGAATAGGTATATAGACCTAATTGAGGATATGCATGAGGGATCAACAACCAATGTTAGAACACTAGTGGGGGAGGCTTCAGATTTTATAGTTACTATGGGTCTTCACCAAGGTTCAACACTTAACCCTTGTCTATTTGCATTGGTCATGGATGAATTGATTAAACATATTCAGGAGGAAGTTCCATGATGCATGTTTGTTGTGCAGGAGCTGAAGAGTCAAAATTGGAATTTTATGATATTTTATGTATTTCTGTATTTTTGAACAGTAGGGGTATTTTTGTCATTTTGCAATTTTCTGTGGGGGTCCAATGATAGGGTTTAAATTGTCTAGTTATAGTTTGTTTATGTTTAAAATTTCAGTCATTGCATAAGTAGGATTGGAGTTATTGAGTCTTCTTTAAATTGAAATAGAATAATATGACAGCTTTTTTGAGTCCTACTAGGACTATTGAGTCTAATAGTTTGACTCCTAAGACTATTATGAGTCTAACAGTTAGACTCCTAGGGTTGTTACGAGTTTAGAGTCTATAAATATGTATGGACGTTTTACACAAAGGCAACGAATTATTATTGAGTTTTCTTCAGCTTATGCTAGCTATGGTGAGTGATTCCCATGCCCTAGAGTGATTCTAGGCAYCCTGTGAGTGATTCCAGGTATTTTCTCTCTTCTTTCTCTCCCTATTTTCTCTTATTCCTTCAAGAAGCCGTTACAGCCATTGACAGCCATAAAATTCTGATTAAGAAGACCATTCAACATTCCCTAAGGACTAGAACTGAGCTGGTCCTACATCATTTTGTAGATGACATGCTTTTTAATTGATGAAACTAATGAAGGATTAAATGCAAAATTAAGCTTATGGACAAACGCCTTATAAATAAGAGGTTTTAAAATAAGTGGGACTAAACAGAGTACATGACATGTAAATTTAGTAATAATGGGAGTGTAAGTCAAGATACATTTGGGATTGGAGATCAAGAAATAACTCACTGTGACCATTTCCAGTACCTTGGCTCAATTATTCATGACAAGGGAGAGATTTGGGAGGATGTCACCCAAAGAATTAGAGCAGGATGGGCAAAATGGAGGGGTGTTTCAGGTGAATACCACTTAGATTAAAAGGAATATTCTATAAAACAGTTGTAAGGCCAACTATGTTGTATGGAGCAGTGTTGGAAAGTCTAGAAACATGTCTAGAAAATGAATGTGGCTCAAATGCGAATGCTAAGATGGATGAGAGGAACTAGAAAGGATAGGATTCGGAATGAAATTATCCATAGGAACCTAAGAATAGCTCCAATAGGTGATAAAATAAGAGAGTAGACTAAGTTGGTTTAAGCACATGCATAGAAGATCACTAACTGTGCCGAAGTGATTTGTTGCACAATGAAAGGGCTAGAAGAACTCGGGGTAGACCAAAAAAGACATGGGTAGAAGTAGTAATACATAATTTAAGCACTAATAATTTAACAATGGATATGGCTCTAGGTAGAATGGATTGGCAAAACAAGATTCATGTAGCCGACCCCATATAGTTGCAATAAGGCATGGATGATGATGACCATGATTATGGTCTTCTTTTTCAAGTTGACTAGTCAATGCCTAGGCACTTACTAGTCATTGCATTAACTAGAGAGGCCAAAATGAGTAGTAATTGCTTTATCACATTTACAACACTGATTAAAATTCAATTATTGTATATAATGCATGTATCATAATGGATAGGATTGCCTAATTAAAATTGGATGAAACCAATTCATTTGCAGCCTAAAATTGAGATTTGGTTGTAGCTCTGTTGTGTAACCGAAGATGCTTTGGAATTGAGAGTTTCACGCGAGAACCAAGTTGTAAATATGGGTTGTTTTGGATTTTTTATGTATTTCCGTATTTTTAGACAGTAGGGTTAGTTTGGTCATTTTATGTGTTTGTGGTCTGGTCTTAGAGTTTGATTTGCTTGGTAATAGCTTAGTTGTATTGTATAATTTCATAGTCATTGGTTAAGTAGTTTAGGAGTTATTGAGTTCTTTCTTTTGTGATAATGGCAAATTTGTAATGACAGTTCATCCTAGTTCTAGTAGGATTAGCCACCCAAATAACCATTAGAACTATCAAGAGCAATAAGTTCATCATAGGAGTTTAGTCAACATTACTAACAGGCTAAAATCAATCAAAGTATGGTTTCTTTGAATTTACATTATAACCCAAAACAACATTGTCAATTTGGCTGTTTTTTCTTTTCATTACTTAGCACCAAACCATGCCCCTTTGCTTTCATACTCTGATGCCCCCATAGACCTTTCTAATCTTTTACCAAATTGCATCTCAGATTCCACCTAGAACCATTTTTAAGCATTCAAGCAAAAAAAAAAAAGGAATTCACACTTGAAAAGTCTTCAAAACCTTAATGATCCACACTTGTTTTTTGCATTTTTTTTTTGCAGATCTAGCACTCTAGGAATGAGGTTTGGAGTTTTAGAGTTGTTTGGGGGTGGAGGAAGGCTTATTTCGGGGGAAAGAAGCCATCTTTCCCTGTTATCTTTTTTTTTCATTTTCTGTCTGTATCTTTTTTTTTTTTTTTCATTTTCTGTCTGTATCTTTTTCACTGCGAATTGACTGATACACTACCGATATGCTCAATACATGGCTGATATGGGACGATATGGTGGAAAAAAAAGACAATACCACCTATTTCCTACTGTATTCCATATCGAGCCCTCAAAGATACGATACAATATGCCTTGTATTGGACGTAACCTGTCAAAATTTTAAACCTTGTTGCTATTATTGACTTATTGTGGTAAAAGTATCTATTATTCATAAAATTGTTAAAAATTTCAAGGGTTCAAAAATATTGACTATTTTCTCACATAATGCAACTCTCAAATTACTGTCATAGGCTTCCTGGGTTGGTCAATGTTACGGTGATTTGACTGAAAAAAAAATTGTTAAGGTGGTTTGGTGGTAAATGGTTGCTGATATTACTGTCTTTTTTCAGATGGAATGGTCTAAAACGAAGGTACAAGCCATTGAACTGGACCGAAATTGAACAAAAACGCCACAATAAGGTACTTCAAGTAGATATATTCCTTGTCATGCTTTGTAAAGCAAAACAGAAGGGAAAGAAACATCTACTTTGGTTATTAGTTGATAATGTTGTTTATGATATATATACAGGAGCGAACATTGGAAGAGCACAAGAAATTAATCAAAGGAATCCTGAAACGAGACCAAAAGAGGAGAAAGAGGATAGAAGCTGCTGGTATTGAATATGAATGCCCAGAAATTGTAAGAGCATATTTTCTCTCATTCATGGTCCTTCTTGTCAGACTGGACCAGTGGAGTCTAATTTCAACATTACAAGTAGTACAAAGAATTAAATGAGCTAAAATTTTAGTATGTTTAGTTTGGCTCAAGCCTACCCTTGAGTTGGATTTGGATCAGATTCAGCCATATTCAAGTCTGATCTGAAATCTGATTCGATCTAGCAGTCTTGGATCAGATTTGGATATTATCAGGTTTGAGATTGGATTCAGATTTAATTTGAGTTTGTTTTATTTCTTTAAAATAAAGAAAAACAAAAACATTTAAAAAAGTTAGTACTTTTTTAACCTTTTTTGGGCTATTATATCATACACATTGGGGTATTTGGGTGGGGATGGTGCAGGGTGCATGTGATGTGAGGTATACTTAGCTTACCTGTTGATCTTGCATCCCCATTTTTGGAGGGAGACCGGATTTAACTTATATAACAAATTTATATAAATACGAAATACTGAATTTATTTATTAACTATAAATTTTACATAATTATATGTTATCTATGTATAAATACATTATTATGTTGTATATATGTTCAAAACCCTAGGGGCCATTACTTGGTGTTATGATAAAATCTCGGTCTGGCAACTGTAAGAACACTGGTTCAAGTCTGAGATTGGCTACTTTGTTTAAAAAATGCCAGAGATTAGGACTGTATCCAGCCTATCCCTCCCATGATCTCAGATTGCTGGGACCAACATTGGGTAATGGACTTGTATATCTGATCCACATCGAATCTGATTATAAGACAGATGCAAGTTCTAAAATGAGCCCAATGTGATTATGTAAACAGATAATCTGAATATGAAATAATTGGATTGGATGTTTGGATTAGGTTTCAGGCTTCCAGACTCCGTTGACAGTCCTATTGGCAAGTTATCAAAAGTGGAAAATCTAGTCAATATGGTAACTATGAGGTTGCTGTAATTGAGAATCGATATTACCTAAAGCTGTCTTTGTTTGGAGCTATATTTTCCTCAGTTTGTATTTTCATATACATTTGGCTAATTACTAGCTAATAATCATAATCGCATTGTGTTTACACGTGTTAAGGAAATTTCCTTATTTTGTTTTGTCCCAATCAATAGAGAAACCTAAATTCAACCATGATGATTTAACTACTTACATTTCTTGCCTTATTTTTACCAGGTGGGTAGCATCCAGCCTAGTTCAAAGAAAATTAGGTTTGATGAAGATTAGGCTTCTGTGAGATCATACAATGGTAAGCTCTTGTCACTTCTCACTTTTCAAATCAGTATTTGCATAGACATGGTAGGGTTCCTCTTCATTTGTTTTTTTTTTTTTTACTTTTTTTGGTAATTTTAGAAACGTGGTTTTGCATCAGAAGAAATTAAAGGAAAAAGAGGCACGCCTGTTGGAGCTTTCCTATTTCTGGTAGAATGAAAATCAGCCAAATGAAGGTGCAAGAACAGTTTTGAGTCGATCCGACCTTTTGCTGCAACCAAATTGTTCATGTCTAACCGGACAAATATGTCTTCATGTCTAAACTTTTTTTGGTAAACGTTTTCATCCCAAGCTGCAACTAAGCTAAAAAAACAAGTATCTTTTGTTAGGGGGATCTCATGGATGATGTATTTCTTTAAGCTTTGAAATTAGTATTCTCTTAAAGCTTAGCACATGAAACTTTTCGTAGATTGATGGTTGACCTTTTCAGGATTTTTATTGAACTGATGGTGCTCTGTATGCCCTACTAATTTTATGGTTGCGTACAAGGCCAGATGGTTAATCCGTTAATATACAGTCAAATGCATTTCTTTTCTTTTTAAGCGTCAGTCAAATTGGGTGAACCTGGCTATCCGCTATCCGATACATGCTGTTTTGTTATGTGAGATTGTTCCAAATGCAATTGGCTAGGATTTTGGGATCATTTCTTATTAGGCAGAAAATCCACCCTGGACGCGAGATCGGCTTCAGTCAGTGCGTGTTCCGTTCGAACAGCCTTTTCGGCCTTCCAGTGGGAATATCTCCGTACCTATGTATTTTATTTCATGGGGAGATATTGCCACGTGCTGTTCGGCATCTTCTACTTTATAGCCAATTAGCCATACTCACGAGGCGTCAGTGCCAACTAATTATAGCGGTAAAATAGGGTGCGGCCCAGTCACTGTTGCAATCGGGCGGTGCTAGTTCTAGCTAAATCATCATGCCGTGTGGGCCATGGCTATGGCTATAAAGCAAGTTTTTTGAACTGTCGTTGATCCACAATTGGTTTCATTTTACCTCAAACCCGATTTTTGGTTAAAGACTGTTGAACCTGTTGGTTTGGGTGGTCAAACTGTGATCTGTTGATTCGTTCAATGGTTTTTGATAGTTTTTTTTATTTTTTTAATTTATTTGTCAAAAAGGGCCATTTGTTCGAATTAGATGATTGGATCATCAACTCAGAAATCGGTGGTCAGAACGATTCTATTTTTGGGCCATTTTTTATATAGTGGAACAGTCACAAAGGTATCTTAGGCCCACGAGCTGGCATGGGCAAGTGGGCTATGCTAATATAGCTCGCATGGTGGCACGAATGGTGGCATGGCATGGCACGGCACGAAGTCGCCACATGCTGGTCCATCCAAATGATATAGCCATTGGGCACCTTGCACCCACCTAACGTTTAACGTTTTGGGTTTGTTTTTTTTTTATAAAAATACCTCCAAACAATTATAAATAGCTATTTGGGGGACATTTTGTTTATTTTGGCTTTAGGTGAGGAAAAATGACTTAAATGTTCCTGTAATTGTTATATAATAGTTTGGGGGCATCTTGGTAAAGTTATAAATACCTTTGTGTAAAGGTGTAAATCGGGCTGTGCTGGCTGGCTTGGCATGGCACAACTTTGTGGGCTGCCCATGCTTTGGTGGGTCGTGCGAGGCTGTGCTTGCTTCTTCTGGGATATTTTAGAGGTCAGGCCCAGCAAAGCCCATGGCACGAGCCTAGGTGGGCCTAGGTTTGGCCATGCTACAGGTTAGGTCAAGTCATGATCGGCATTTTTTTAATTTTGAAAAAAAATAATGAAAAAATTAAAATAAATTAACTAAATTGAAAAAATTGAAAAAATCTTAATATTTTATTTTATATGAACTTTGATGTATACAATTGTTTATATATAATTAAAAAAAATTATAATACAATTGGAATAAATAATATATATATTAATATTATATATTATATTAAATATTATTACATATACATATACATGCATACATACATATACATAATTAGAGGTGTCAATTGGACGGATTTGGTCCAACCCGATCCAGTCCAATGTGAATCCACTTATAAATGGACTAAATCCAATCCAGTCCAAATCCAATACAAACCAAATCCAATCTAATCCATTAACTTGTAAATGGATTGGATTGGATCCAATCCAAACCGGATGAAATATCAAAAATTATATAAAAGCACTTTTAGCATTGAAAAAACACTTTTGTAAAAGTAATTTGATAAAAATATTTTCATAAAGGTGCTTTTACAAAAACACTTTATTGAAAGTACTTTTGTAGAAGTGTTTATATATATATATATATATAATTAGAGGTGTCAATTGGACGGATTTGGTCCAACCCGATCCAGTCCAATGTGAATCCACTTATAAATGGACTAGATCCAATGCAGTCCAAATCCAATACAAACCAAATCCAATCTAATCCATTAACATGTAAATGGATTGGATCCAATCCAATCCAAAGTGAATGAAATATAAAAAATTATATAAAAGCACTTTTAGCATTGAAAAAACACTTTTGTAAAAGTACTTTGATAAAAATATTTTCATAAAAGTGCTTTTACAAAAGCACTTTATTGAAAGTACTTTGAAAAAGTGCTTTTGTAAAAGTACTTTTGTAGAAGTGTTTATATATATATATAATTAGAGGTGTTAATTGGACGGATTTGGTCCAACCCGATCCAGTCCAATGTGAATGCACTTATAAATGGACTAGATCTAATCCAGTCCAAATCCAATCAAATGCATTAACATGTAAATGGATTGGATTGGATCCAATCCAAACCGAATGAAATATCAAAAATTATATAAAAGCACTTTTAGCATTGAAAAAGCACTTTTGTAAAAGTACTTTGATAAAAATATTTTCATAAAAGTGCTTTTACAAAAGCACTTTATTGAAAGTACTTTGGAAAAGTGCTTTTGTAAAAGTACTTTTGTAGAAGTGTTTATATATATATATATTTAGAGGTGTCAATTGGATGGATTTGGTCCAACCCGATCCAGTCCAATGTGAATCCACTTATAAATGGACTAGATCCAATCCAGTCCAAATCCAATCTAATCCACTAACACGTAAATGGATTGGATTGGATCCAATCCAAACCGAATGAAATATCAAAAATTATATAAAAGCACTTTTAGCATTGAAAAACACTTTTGTAAAAGTACTTTGATAAAAATGTTTTCATAAAAGTGCTTTTACAAAAGCACTTTATTGAAAGTACTTTGGAAAAGTGCTTTTGTAAAAGTACTTTGGTAGAAGTGTTTTTATAAAAGGACTTTCGAAAAGTACTTCAGAAAAGTGCTTTTGTAAAAGTACTTTTACAAAAATACTTTTGTAAAAGAACTTTTTGAAAAGTACTTCCATAGACTTTTATAAAAGTGCTTTCATAAAAGTACTTTTATAGAAGTACTTTCGTAGAAGTGTTTTCATAAAAGTAGTTTCATAAAAGTGCTTTTGTAAAAGTTCTTTCATAAAAGTGATTTTCTAAAAGTGCTTTCGTGAAGTGCTTTTATAAAAGTACTTCTATAAAAGTGCTTTCATAAAAGTACTTCTGTAAAAGTTCTTTTGTAAAGGTGATTTCATAAAAGTGCCTTCATTTTAAAGTACTTTTGTAAAAGTTCTTTCGTAGAAGTACTTTTTTAAAAGTGCTTTTATAAAACTTCTATAAAAGTGCTTTCATAAAAGTACTTTTATAAAAGTATTAATATAAAAATGTTTTCATCAAAGTGCTTTCGTAAAAGTACTTTCATAAAAGTGATTTTATGCTGTTTTCAGTTTTGATTGATTTCAAATTGGACAAGGGTTTGGTCTCATGATCGAATTATTGGAAATTTGGTTTAGGTCTAATTCAAACCAATAAGAATATGGACCAATTTATTTTGGATTGGCCCAATCCAAAAATTATAATGGATTGTCATACATACATACATACATATATATATATAAAATTATAATGGATTGTCATACATACATACATACATACATATATATATATATATATATATATATATATGGGCCGTATTGCGGGCCCATGCCAACATAGTCAACTTTGTCGTGTTGTGTCGTGCTGGCCCACGGGCAATATGGTCCAATTTACAACTCTACCTTTGTGAAAGATCAAAATGCCCCGCTTAACAACTATAAAATGGCTAGTTTTTAAGGGTATTTTAATTAATTAAATTATTTCCAACTCCTATAAATACCTTACCCTCATTCTAATTCTCATACTTTTTTATACTCTTATATGCTTACATATTCTCTCATACACTTTCATACTATTTCTTGTACTCTCTTAATCTCTTGTACCTAGTCCCTAATTCTCAACTTTGTTTAACAAAAAGAGCATTTTGCTCAAGTGTCTCAAGTAAGCAATTTGAGAGGTTTAGAAGCCTTATTAATTGAAATTAAGKTGTGATTCCGGATTGGTGGACAAAATAAGTGGTAATTAATTTTCATTTCTTTATGGTTTAATGTTCCATTTTTTAAAATGGTTAATGTTGAAGGAATGAGAGATCCATTATATGGATGGCCGAACCCTGCAGGTAGGTTAGGCGAAATTTCAAAAATTTCCTCTCCCCTCATTTGGGAATCGCATTCCCTGTTTTAGAAAATCTGCATTTTCAAGGATCAATCTTGAACCCTAAATCGAACCAGATCTGAAAATAGAAGCAGGAGAGGGATATACCAGATATGGAGAAACAATATCTCTCAATGGAGGTGTTCACGCCCAAGGAAGGAACCAAAGACTGCTCCCACAGAAAATGGCGTAGTGTAGGATAAAGCATAATCAACAACGTTATTCCAAAGAACCATATCCTTCGCAAGAATCAGCTGGACGACACATGAGCATGACTTCCAATCARCCCTTTCACAAAGGACTGATATCAAGAACCGTTCTTGATGACTCCTACTGTCGTGGAGATGCACTGCCAATGGCGGCGGCGACAAGAAGGAGGCGGCAAGGAGAACTCAACGCAGTCTTACTGGAAGCTGTTTTCTCTCTTCTGTAATCTCTTCTCWGTAGATGAGAATGTGATCTTCTTAAAGGCTACCGCCCCCTCCTCCTTTTATAACCTTAAAGGGATTAGCTCCTAATCCCATTTGGATCTGTAGATTAGATCAACCCTCTCCTAATCTTATTAGGAGGTTTCCAGATCTAAATCTGTATTCAGATTTGGACTCTCTGAGTAGATAGGGCTAAGACCTTATCCTATCTGCTAATCTAATATCAGATCCGCCCCTTAATTTAACTGACCAAATCAGCCCAATTCGAAATGGGCTTTAGGCCCAATAAGTATATGTGCTCACTTAGCCTTCCAAACTGCTGCCCAGTTGGGCTTCCTTGTATGGCGTGGGACCCAAGCATTGATCTACACATCAGCCACAAGGGTTCGGTCTAGCCTT